TTAATATCTAAAATAATGTAGGGATAATGCTATAGGACTTCTATCCCAACCTTTCCTTAAGGATTTATAAATCCAATACCAATTGCACACTAAACAATAAAAACAAATAGAAAAATTTGTTTATAATAATATACACAAAAACCAGGAAGTTTTAAAAATTATGCTATTTATGCATTCATACTACTCATATTACTTCAACCCCAATTTTGAAATACATGAAAGTTATTCTGAAGCTTTGATTTGCATAAAAAGTACACAAGGATCATGTTGACGTAAAGATTCTGATATATCTGGATGGGACCTGAGATTCTGCATTTCTAATAAGCTTCCATGCAGTGCTGATGCTTCTGGTCCATGGACCATACACTGAGAAACAAGGATTTAAGCTATCTGCAGAGAAGTACACTGGATTCTTCAAAGTTGTTGGCTTTGCTAGGTTGGGAGGATAGTTCTAGTCTCTGATTTTCCCTCTAACTTGTACATGGAGCATAACAGGTCTTTTTGAAACTGAAATATTCAACTCCTACCCTTCCTGACCAGGAGGTTTGGAACAAGCACGGGCAAGAGAGAGTGAGTGTGTGTGCACCTGTTTGGAGTGTGTGTGCACCTGCTTTGCATCTGTTTGCAACGGTTGTACCTTCATACTTGCATTAAGGGAAGGGTGTCAGCAACTCTCCTGTGACTATCCTAATGTGAACTTGCATTCATCTAAGCACACAAAGTTTAGAGAATTGTCAGGTTCAAATATGCCCTATCTCTGAGGTTAAGCCCCAGCTTATTTCACACATTTCAACATTTTCCATGTGGATGCTGTTAAGGTTGCCTGGAATTTGGAGATAAGCCCAGGATTAGTCCTGCTTTAAAGTCATCATGAAGCCTTGTTATAGGCCTCAAGTTAAGTTGTTAAATGTATTTCTGAGAATTTACTGGAAAAAAAAAATAACATTCACTAACTGGTAAGCTTCAGGTAGCAAAAACATAGTGTTGTTGAAAAGTTACCTGCAGGCCTGTACCTTCATGTTTCTGTAGACAGAGGGCTTCTGATAGGAGGCTAAAACAACATTCTGTTTACCAAGCTTGCTTTAGGAAGAATATCTAAACTGAGAACTGCTGGAGAGGACATGCACCTGTTTGGGTTTTGTTTTGTTTTATTTTGTTTTGTTTTTTCTTTATAGCTGAGTCAACACTATTCAAGCAGATTTTTAAAAATCATTTTGTAATATTCAAAATTATTCTATAATTATAAAATACTTTAGTATTTTTTTCTCTATTGCTATGAAAACAACTACTACAGAATTTGCCAATTACTAGAGGGCTTACATTTTTTGGAACTCTGAATTCCAATTGATATTGAACTGGTCCTATTAAAATAGCTAACATGTTGGTTCTTTTTTCATTTCTTTTTTTTTTCTTTGCATATGTAGCTATTCTATTGGCCTAGAAGACATAAAATAAAAGGCAGTAATATTTGATTAAGTCTTGTCAAAATTTTATTGCCTTTGGTCAAAAGACATTGCAGAATAACCAGAAAAGTTCTAATGCAAAGGTGTTTAGATGCATATTGACCAGACTTGAAAGTGCAGTATCTATTTCTGAAAATAAATGTAACATTTCAGAAATAATTTCCTAAAGGAAGCTAAAAAAAAAAAAAAAAAGAACCCTATCTTCCTGTACTTTAAATTTTGACTGGCCTACTTAGTTTGATTTTGATTTTGATTTTTTTTAAGATTTTATTTATTTATTTGAGAGAGAGAGAATGAGAGATAGAGGCTTGAGAAGGAAGAGGGGCAGAGAGAGAAGCAGACTCCCTGCTGAGCAGGGAGCCCGATGTGGGACTCGATCCCAGGACTCCGGGCTCATGACCCGAGCCGAAGGCAGTTGCTTAACCATCTGAGCCACCCAGGCGCCCCTTAGTTTGATTTTTAGAGAACTGGTGAAAAAGACCCTACATGTTGCAGGCTTACAATTTCTGGGTTGTCAAAAAATGTGTAAATATACTTTAAACTATAATAATTTTTAACAGCATGTGTAGAGATAATATCAGAATGAAAGGAGCAACAAAATCTTCTCTGTCTTAGAATCTCTGTAAACAAGAGATGTTCTAAGATATCTTCCTTCTTTTATAATTGAGAAAATAAACCTGAAAGGAATTTTGATAAACACTCATGTAAGGCCCCTCATGTAATATAGGGAGGTAACATGCTCTTTTTATTCTCCTTTTGATGAACCTCTAGAATGTAATTTTTCTTCCACATCTGTAATAAGTTACTTGCTGTTTGGTAAAATTTGATTTTTTTTAAATGTTAAAGCAGTCTTAATTTTTCTAACATGCTATGAATTAGCACAATTTGTCTTCTCATGCCCTTTGACTTCTGTTGGTTCTGTAGATGATACATAGGTAGATAGATGATAGATAGACAGATGATAAAGATTCTTGTGGACTAGAGTTGATTAAATTAAGAGGATCCCCACAAAGAAGTATGGAGACTATTTATATTATAGTAGTAGGGGAATATTTGATGAGTAGAAATCAATAGTTGAGAGCAATTACTCTCTTTGCAGTGCACCATTTGCTCAACCATCCAAGGCAGGTTTCCATCCTGACCTTTCTATGAGGAGTTACTTAGATAACTAAGGGCTTATCTCCATTTTGATAAAAAAAAATTTGAGACACAGAATTTATTAACCTGCCGTCAGATAGCTAATAGTTGGTGTTAGAATTCTAACTTGTATTCATCATGTTAATGTTCTGTATTTCCCATAATTCAGGAAGCAGGACTGATGCTTGTCAAGTCCACCTGTTGCCTCATATTCTGTCACATGAGATTTTTAAAATCTCAAACAAAAATCTGGAAGAACAATCTTCCCTATTCCACGCAACCTTAGAATTATGACATATTCTAAAAGATTACAAAAGTATTTTTATCATTTATTTCTTTCAAAGTTTATTTTTACACATATCAACAGGTTAACATAATGAAAAGCAATATTCAAAATTTTTTAACCTTCTGAAAGTTTAATGTTCATAAAGTAATACTTCCAACTTGATAGTTCAGAGGAAGAGAAATCTCTAAATTAAAGACTTACTAAAACTTTAAAAATCATTGTTATCCTTAAAAATGTCCAATAGAAAAGTCAAAATCACCATTACTATCCCAAATAATCCTTTTTCTGCTGTCCTACTTCTTTTACACTGAACACATTGACAGTCTTCTGTCATTTACTTCCCAGGTAACATTATATGCAGAAAGATAGTCCATCAAAGTTGCTACCGTACAAAAGATGACAGTGATGTGAAGTCAAGACAAATGTAGATGCCACTACTTTCTCCCTCTTTAAAGATGTTCAAGTGAAAGACGCCTCTGAGAAATATTCAGCAAAATATGCTCTATAAACCACAATTTTCTGCTACCAAGTGTTTCCTACTATATTATCCCCAGGTCAAAATTCTGCTGTAATGAACAGTTTACTAAGACAACGTTAATTATGTAGAAAATGCGCCACAGATACACTATCTTATTTCTCTTAGTAAGTGTCAACCACAAAAGACCATTTTTTTGGTGATGTGCAGCCACAGATCCCTATGCCCCCTTTTCATTCTTTTATTTAAAAGGAAAGTTTAAAGTTTTAGCTTTAATGCATTAAAATGCTTATTTTTAGCCTGAGGTATAATGACTACCTTGAAATATTAGCCTCAGTTCGAATAAAAAAGACATCAATGTGTTATTTAAATAAATTTTTAAGTAATAAATTTCAGTTTTAGATACTGGCTTGCACTATTGAGTAGTACTGAGTACATATCTATCTAAGCAAGGCAAGGCAAAAACTGCTTTGAAATCAACCTAAATTACCAAGTTGGTAGTTTATTACTTTAATGGAATAATGTTAGACAACCTCATTTTTGTCATATAAACTTCAAAACATAATAATATTAGGTAAACCATGAATAAATATTTCAAGTATATCATTAAAGACTGGAACTCTGTTAAAGAAACCGTAAGATTAACACACTCAACAGTTTTGCTTTTACAGAATCTTTGGATACTATGAAGAAGCTGACATTTTTGTTGCAAATGAAATTTCCAAAATTTCAATTAACCCATTTGATTTCAAGATGCATAAGGATAATATGCAATTAAATTCTTTTGTTGCCGTTCTTTTTTACAGATACACAGTACAGTTAAGCAGTGCTCCTCCATGCAATGAAATATAAGGTAGAACACTGTATTCCCAAGTAGATGAACTTCATTAGAAAAGGTTTCCTCCTATTCACTCACATCTGCCAAAAAAAATAAACTTTACCTTCCCCACAGTATTAACAATTCTCACATTCAGACCAAAGATGATGAATGAAGTCCTAATCTCAGGAAACTGTCTATAATTTTATTCTCCTGTCTTTTATAAACCATATCATGTTTCTCAGAATGGTAGAAATATTAAAACATGTCACATCGTCAAATTTTCTGATACATACTGGACTTTCTCGTTACTGTTCAGATATGATAAAATAGCTAGAATTGCTAAGTAAAAATATTTGTGTTACTTACAATTTCTAGTGTTTATACAGTAACACAATCACAGCCCAGAAAATGTATCATACTTGTAAGTAATAGAGCAAATGCCTTTCAGAAACAGGAACAGCTTTTATAAATCTACTGGAATATTTCCCCATTCATATGTACTTGCAATAACATATTTTGCAGTGTTTGTCCTGATGCTGAAACTGGAATTTGAGGCATTTCACCAAAACCTGTCTAATTTACAATAGAAATGTAATGCAAATTTTTTATAGTTTCCCAAACAACACCAATACCTTCTCATTCAGTTTCTTTTGCATTTGGCCAACATTTTATGAAATCACAGCATAGTCAAAACTTCACAATTACCTTTCAGATGAAATCGGAAAGGAACATCACAATAATCTTCTGACTTTTTTTTAAGCCTGTAATGATATGTAGGTAATAACAGAATCAGATAAAATATTATTAACTGTATCTTACCTCTATCACTGAAGTCATCTACCAGAATGATTTCTGCTATTAGACTCTCTGGGGTTCTGTTAATTATACTGTGGATGGTACGCAGGAGTGAAGTCCAACCTTCATTATGAAATGGGATAATGATGCTGGTGTTTGGAAGCCTTTCCAGGTACATCTTGTGCTTACAACTAGAGATGATAGAAGAAGAAAAAAGCAATGTCAAAAGCAAAACTCTGCTATTTACTCACTGTTATCAAACATCTGTGAAAACTAGACTTTGTCTAATACTTTTCCAACCAGAGCTCGTACATCATAATAATTACTCAGTTCATTCACGGAACTCATTAATGATCCCTTTCACATGTGCTCTTAATGAAATAATTATTTATCCTTTTTTGTATCAGGGACTCAGACACTGGGTAAGAAGTGCACTGAAACATATTCTTGTTGATGTAAACTTTTCCTAATGTTACCTAACAGCGAAAAGAACAAATTTTATGAGTCAAAATTGTTTCCACTTAGTACACCGTTAAGGTTTAGATGGGTTTCCTGGGAAGTTCTGGAAATCCAACTTCTGTAATAATTATGCTTAGTTAATCAGTTTGGGTTGTGGTGTGTTTCAATGGCTGGGCAACATTTAAGCTCTACAGGGAAAAACACAGTTTTACAATGAAATAAATGAAGAGTTAATATTAAATAAGCATATACTGATACAACCACATAACAAGATTACATTAAGATCCAAACCCAGACATTATCACATTTCTAGTGGGAATTATAACCAGAAATCCCATGTTGCTTTATTCATTATGAAAAAAATCTGAGATGCCAAAAAGAACACAGACTTTAACTTTTGGCAATGTTAAAAACAATTTAATATGTGTAATTGTTATTTTTGCATATTTATGATATATTTAATTAGTTTCTAAGCCGCACAAGGGCAGGAACCTGGTCTCAAATCTCATTTACTTCCTAGTTTAGCAAGTTGACCAAGCTTTATTGAGGGTGATGAATTCACTTAAGTTTGTGAAATCTTTGAGTTACTTTAAAACTAAAATAGAGTAAAATTTCAATCAGTTATCAGATTCAGTGATTTTTCCTGATATGGATAACTTGAAAACAAAAAACAGAGTGGCAATCTAGAAATAGTTTCAATTTAAACGCAGAAACATCTAATGCTTTAGCTTTTGCCAGTATACTGGCTACTATTTAGTGTAGATGAGGAAACAAACCATAGCGTGTTTGAAGTATGCACAGATTGTACCAAGATGTATAGAAATGCACCAGAATATTCAAAACATTACTTAAAATATTTTTTCCCAATCAGTCATTTCAACACTTTATTTTACTATGATCTTAACAGGATATATTAAATATTGCTGTGGATCTACAACAAAAGTTGCCTTACAGCTTGGGAAAACATGACAATGCAATTAAAGCATCAAAACTAACCACCCGAGAAAATAAAATTAAATATTTTAGATAAATAATTTGAATACAAAATATAAACATTTCCTTTTTTATTCTGTCCATTTATTTCAATTATTTAATCTCATAATTTATTATTTGTAACAATATCTAAAGAACAAGTAGATTTTAATGTTTTTAAATATGATGAAAAGAGTTGTAAAAAACATCAAAGTCATACCATGAAATGGGCATTAAGTGCTAGAAAAAAATCTGAGATTCATTTTAGGATAACCAGAATGATTAAAAAAATATAATAGCATATGAAACAGATCTGTGAGTGATTTCCAAGGAAGTACTGTGAGATGGATGCTTTCACATATAATGCACAAGTCTGGAAAAGAGTGCTAAAGTAATTCAACACACCTGATTATAATTATGTCGGGCCATCCATTCTTCTCAACAAAGACAAAGGCCCAGATAATTGTGCTTCACTATTATCACTATTTAGGATAATTGCACCTACTTGTGCAAACCATCATACCTAACAATGCAAAAGGGAATGGAATTGATATTTTTCAAACATTAAGATGAGACATATACATATCACTTGCTTATTAATTAAATAAGAATTGCATTCAGAACAATACCCTATAAGCTATCAATAGTGATGTTTAACAGCTCTCTACTAATCTATTCAGAAAATAGGCAGACACAAAAAGATGCAAGACTGGTCCTATGTAAGTAAGGCTTTCCTTCATAAAAATGTTTTCAATAATTTCTATCTCTGTGAGCTCAAACTCTTACCACACACAAGATGTGAAAAGATCTCTTCTATTCATTCATTCACTTAAGTTACAATGATATACTGAGGTTTGATATAAGCTAGGATCCAAAATGGAGAAGAAACAATCAGCAAAACCTCATCCCTGACTTCAAGACATTTACAATATAATAGGGGATACAGAATAGAGAGTTACAATTTTAAACTTAAGTTTGGGAAGTGCTGCAGAAATTCAAGTGAGAGCTAAAGGTGGCCTGCAAAGACAGGTTCAACATATATTTAGGAATACAACTGACATGACTTGGTAACTCTCTGGGAGAAGTAGTTTAAGGAGGATTCCCATGTTTTGGACATAGGCGATTGATCTTATGAAATACAGACTTACACAAGAGCACAGTGTGTGAGGAGCACATCTCAGGGGTGCAAGGCTTGAGGGTGAAGATGAGTTGACTTCTGACCACGTTAAGGTTGAAGCGTCAAATATCCTGTTGAACACAGCAATTATATCTACAGTACACACATCTATGTCCATGTATGTATGTATTTCTGTATCTATGTGCACGTATATGTTTTTGGCCCAAGAAAAGCTCTGTTTTACTGGAGGAACAGGCTTGTGAGCGATAGGATATAGCAGATGGTACCAGTGGACCACCAAGTGTTATTTAGCATTCACCAGCCCAGTACATGCCAAGAGGATCCTTTACAAATACCTGCAGATTGCCAACCCAGTGCTTTCTCTCATCTCTGAACAAAGGCAGATTAGAAATTCTGGGGGAAATTAATGCCCCCCTGAGCATGTATCAACCAACAAAGGAGGGAAGTTGGAGAATAAACAGTCCTATGGTGAGAAAACTCTGAGGTGCTTTCTATATTGTGGACCAGAGTTTCCCAGCAAGACTGAGCCTCAGTTGCCCACAGAGATAAGCATCTTGACAGTGTATCTTTTAAGGGCTTTTTCCCCTTGCCTGTCTTACTTCCTCATCCAGCCTCCCCAGGTACATTCTGTGATTCCTCTTCAAAATTACTACAGTCAAAATTTGTCTCAAGGTCTGTTTCTCAGGGAACCTGTTCTTAGACATAGGCATATAAATTATGCTGTACTTGTCAAAAACAGTCTCTTCAATATAAGGTGATGGTCAAAATTCTTTAAGAAATATTACTTTTGCTGCATTATGAAATTTGCAATTTGTTACACCTGAAGATATTTTTAAAATAAGTTTTTTAAAAAAATATTTTCATACAATCCATATTTTCATATAAGCCATGCAAGCCATTAAGTTAAGTAAGAGATGTTTTATTTCTTTCAACTTCTTAATTTCTGATGCTCTGCTCAGAGCCTTCTCCATGCCTATGAAATACAGCTATCAGTACGTGACACGGTGTACATATAAAAATAGCCTTATCCTAATCAGCAGACTATTAGTAGTAAAGTTACCTTCTTTACATGAATGTGTGTAATTTATTTTTTTCAATTAGACCAAGATGGAAAACTCTCTAATATCTTGTGCTGATAATAATTTCTCAAATATTGAAAAATCATACTTTATGCATCAGACTATCTAGGTTCACATGATGGCTTTGCTACTTACACCTGTGTGACAATGGGCAGGTTATTTAACTTCTGTAAGACCAGTTCCCTCACGTGGGGCAACGCAGGGGCAAAAATAAATAAATAAAAAAATTTTAAGTTAAATAATTAAATTAAAAAATAAACAACCTTCACAATGTGTTCATGAGAATTAAGTTACATAATCCATGCAAAGAACTTAGTACAGTAGCATATCTGATCATAGCGAGGGTTTGATAAATACTACTGTTATTGTTATTGCTGTTATTGCTTTTTAACTGTAATTATTTTACCTGTCAAGTCCTCTATAGAAGGAGGGAGGAAATTAGAAGAGACAGGGACTGCACGAGGGAAAGAGACATTTAGGATACGAAGATGAATAAATTATAGTTTCTTCCCTTAAGGAGTCACAGACCAGTAGGCAGATATATAAAATGATTTGACTCAAATGAGACAAGTGACATAATAGATGGCACACACAGCCATCAGAGCCCAAAAGAAGTACGACTAACTTTGTCTGAAAGAATTAGGGAAGTCTTTATAGATGAGTCTCTCTGTTAAGAACAGATCATGGAGGGTCTTTAAAGTGATTCTAAGGAATTTGGACGTTAGCCTGAAGTCAACGTGAAATATTTCACATGTTGTTAGTGATGAAGAAGACAGGATCATGTTTATATATTCCTCTGGCAGCAGGGCAGACAATTGGAGACGGCAGAGGTGACAGAAAAATTGGAGATTGTAATAGTTTTGGCAAAAGATAATGAGGATGCTGATCTGATGTTTTACTCTAAGGAAAACCAGCCTCTTTGTGTCAGGGCTTAATCTGATTGAATTTTATTTAGTCCTTCTAGTACTTAACCGGCTCCAGAGAATTCACTCCCAACCTCAGCCACTGGATTCTAGGAGTTGGGCTCCAGATGACTGCTTCTCAGTGTTACTAAAATAGTGAAGCATATCCAGGGCTTTATTAAGAATCCGCAACCTGTGTATTTTAGGCTTAATCTCAAGTTAATGTGGAGAATGGAGGTATGTTAAATATGAAGGCAATATGGTAATATGGAACTGTGTTGAAGAAATAAGTAAAATAAAGTCAAACACAATTTATGTTTATGGTTACAGATAGATAGCAAATTTACAAAGAGTAAATAGGGACCAGTTGAAACATTTGTTGCATTAAGCTCATAGGAATATGAATGAAAATGCCTGTAATTATTGCATTTCATATTGCTCTGTTATTTTAAAATAAGCATTTGCATAAAATTAACTTCCAGCTTAAGAATGGCTTAGAGATGAGCCATTAAGTTAAGTAAGAGATGTTACGTAACATCTTTTTGTTAAGTAATAATTTACCTAAATGGATGGCAAAAACGCTCTTCAAATTTTAAATGTACCAGAGACAAAAAAAAAAAAGTTTAAATTCTTTAAAATGT